GCTAGTAGCTACCTTGCACTTCCCCCATAATTAGATTGGCTAGCTAGTACGCTATGTCTATAGTTCCCGTTGAACTAAGAAATATTTTGCTTTCAATGGATCGCATGATAAGCAATAAATTGGTATAGGGCCAAGTAGCCTAAGACCAAGGTGAGTTGCTTAAATTGAAATTGGCTAAATGGAGAAGTGACCCATTTGAATGGGGTGTATTATAGTGGAAATTGAGTTGATAGATAAAACACTTATGATGATTTGGGATTCATGAAGAAAAGACATTTGGGGAATTTTGCATTAATAACAATTAGAAAAATGTAGAAGAAATTCCATGTGAATTTGAATGTTGCATATTTTATGTATATGAAGTATATGATCCATTTATATATATATGGTATGAGTACTTGGATCAATTTTTTGGCTAAACAATAAAAAGGCTAGATAATAAAATAGTTTTATAAACTATGATATGTGCAAATCAGAGGGAGACCCTGAGTTTATAGGAATGCTAAATATTCTTAAGTGCACTTTATATATTCTAGCACGCTGCATTTAATGTGTAATAACCCCCATATTTAAATATGTGTGTGGATATTTCCCATAAAATTTTATCATAGCATACATGAATGGGCCTCCGCTTGTAGTTGAAGAACATGAATTTGATTATTTTAAGTCCATGATAGGGGATATCTTTTGAAGTATGCTATAAAGATCTAATATTGGCATTAGGAGGAGAGAAAGCCTATTTTGAATGCCAAATATTATTTCCACAGAAGGAAAATAGTCTAAAGAAAATATTCCTCGAAGCTTGAAGAAGGAATAATATCATGCACTAAATCAAATAATAGTTTGACTAATGCTCTTGTGAAGCATGAAGCAGAGCATATGCCAGATATTTTTAAAAAATGAGAGGAGTAACTTGAAGTTATAAATTAGAAGTTGTGTTTACTAGTAGTAAACTAAATATTGTAAACTATCAAGCTAAAATCTATGGGGACGCCTGTGGATTCTAGTTTAGTGTATACTTATCAAATGAAATAAGAACAAACTCCTCCATTCTCATGAAGAGAACACCTCATGAAGAAGGTTAAGCACTTCGTGAAGAGGATCATCATGAAGATGAAATTCAACACACTAGGCGTGCGCATTATGAGTGTTGGGTATACATAACAACAAATCATCTCTTGTTTAGAAAATGACAAAGAGATAGAATAATCTCACATTGTGAGAATATTGGGAGAAAATAATAGTTGTCGACAACGCTACCTCTATAATTGCAAATGTTCTCTTATGAGAACCCGGATCCGGAAAACAAAGTCCATGGCAAAGTCGTCTATAGCGATTATATCGGGTCAATGAAGAAAGCAATTGAGGTCGAATCTCCTACTAAGAAGAAATAAATGTTCTGCTATACCTCTAGCAAATGAAATGAATGAATATAAAATATGCAGTAAGTGTATTCTGAAAATCCATATAGTTCTTGAAGAATAAAAATCGTAACATATGGAAATTAAATCTCATACTAAATATTAAAAAGTCTAAGGTAGAATATATATTTCTGTATGAATATTGAAGTCTCAAGAAGAGCATGTCATATAAGGAATAGAGTCATCGAATGACTTTATAGTGAATAACACTCTCATTGTGTATATCACATAATAATCTCTTATGTAGCAGAGAATATATTTCATAGAAAAGAAATGTTATTCACTAAGAATGAGAACACCCTCGAAGGATTTAATTCATGAAGGATTTATCAGTCGATCTTAAAAAACACCATTAATCCCTAAAATAAATGAAGACCCGAGAGAAAGAAAATGATGAATCCTAAATACCATGAAGGTGTCATACAAACACTCAGAAAGTATATATTGTAAAGCTAGCAATGAAGTTTTGATATGCTCTAAATATCATAGAAGGTATGAGAATAATGGTGATTTTGACAATTGGATTATCCCCTAAATGACAAATACAAGACTTGATTTATTATTTAGTGGTACAATCAAAATCCTGAAAATTTATATAACATATAATTTGAAAATCCACTAAGAAAGAATTATAAGTACTTAAACTCTAGTATAAGTTTGATGCACTATCTAGAAGATATTGAATATTGTAACTTATTTACCCCATAATCCTCTGAAAAGATTTATTACTTTGAAGGATAAAAATTTATTTGTTTTGCACAACTAATAAGTGGTTATTATGCATGAAGCATATTGCTCTTGTTTATTTCCATATAATTCATAGAAGAATTATGAGCCAACTTTTGAAAAATATAGTATTGTGGTACTACATACCATTAATTAAGCACATATTTATGAAAAGTGTGGTTTAAACAATGAAGTTCAAAATTTGGCTTTATAAGGGGGAGCATGTTTTTATTGAATTTATCTTGAAGGTAAATAACTAGAATTACAAAGATCAAGTAGATCATATTTGCTAAAACACTGAAGTTTATGTGTAGATCATGAAGATCAATATCTATCATGAAGAATAGAATATCCTAAAGAATACATGACGAAGAAGGTTAAATGTTGTACTCTTTTTCCCTATGTGAGTTTTTACTTGAAGGTTTCTCACACAAGGTTTTTAATGAGACAACATGTGCAATGCAATTAACGAATGCGATGTACTCTTTTCTTCAAGAACCATTTTTTCCACTGGATTTTCAGATGTAGTTTTTAACGAGGCATGTGCATATCGTGGTAATGGCCCAAAGGTGAATCTTGTAAAACATACGGACTCTATCCTAAACGGAAAGGAGAAATCCTAATCCTAGTCCGTTTATATGTAGGCTTTTATCAAACTCTTAAGCCTTGGTAGGACTATATATACGTGGGAGTTCTATGTTGTAATCACCAATATTTAGATGAATAAAGAATAGTCTCCATATCTTATGCCTATTTATTCTTCTACTTTTACCTACTGTGTTCATCATGAGAGACGAAGAGAGGATTGTCATAACCACTGGCAACGTGTCTTATAACAGTCACGTGCGTCACCCGCGTCTGGTAGCGGTAGCGCACGGGTGCGGAATGTTTCCTGGGCTCGGAAGAGAATCGCTTCTCCTCTCACGCTGTGTGAGCGGTGAATGAATGAGGCAAATGCTGCACCGAAAGTCCAGACGTTTCCAAATTCCAGTGCCGGCCCTAGGGGTAGGGCACGAGGTGCGACGGCCGATGGCCCAAGCGGAGGAGGGGCCCAAGCCCAGGTATACAAACCCTCAGGTCCTATAGTCCATTAGGCATTAGCAAACTAATGAGAAAAGACATAGAACTGGCCAGATGGCCCAAAAAGACAACATCGGTATTTCTTTCCTAGTTTTCTTTCCCCACGGCCCTCGGGTAGAGAGGAGGCGAGGAGTCACGCTGCACACAGCACACTCTGATCGTGAGTTGGCGACGTGTGCCTTACACACGCGGAGTTGGCGAGCCGCACCGCCGTGAAGAGCTAGACTACTGGAGACACGGACACGGCGCATGAGGACAGCGACCAGGCATGGCTCCACGACGATGACATCTTGATTCTTGGCTTCTTACGAATTGCGATCACCGATCAATTGTTTAGGCCCAAGGTATTTTTTCCTTTTTATTTTTAATCTAAATTATTATTTGTATAGTATTCCAGACTTCTAATACCTTGTACCCGTATAGTCGTATTTTTCTTCTAATTTAGGTGTTAGAATTTTAGAATGTTATCTGAGAAACATTTGTCATGGTTGAGAAAAGAAAACATATATATTGTTTTTTTAATCTACATTATTCCTCGATAATTATCATACATCTACAAATACATTGCTTAATATAAATTGTTCCTCGATAATTATCAGACATGTTAAATTTAAAATATATTATTGAATTTAATTTCGTTTTGTAAGTAAAATTAGCGTCTATATACTATAAGATTTTATACACGGTCAAGAAGGGGACGTTGCGACGAGATCGCTAGAGAGCCAAATTCCAGACGTTTTGTGGCGTCCATGGGGCGCCCCAAAATTCCAAGACGTTTCCAGGTTCCAAATTTTCGTGCTTCACATCACCTTCTTCCCAGATTCATTTGCCTCGTCGCTTTACCATTCGCTGCTCTCCTGTCTTGTCACGGGGCGCCACTATTGCCCCGTCTGTGACAAAGAAATTTAGAGTTGGAACATTCGACATTTCGACTGATTGCTAGTATCCCTAAATTTTGTGCACATGTTTCTTTGCTATTTATCTTTGGACATGGGCCGATGGGAGAGGCAGATAGATTTAGGAAACCCCTCAATTCAGAACTTCAGATCCACAAACCGAGGTTGCAGGTACTAACCAGAGGCCTGGCTTGCCCAGATTCTTGTTTCGGACATGACCAACTAGGCCACTACTTGCACTGATAGCTGGAAAAAAAAAACTTTGCAAACAGCAGGATTATCTACAAGGGAAAACCATCCACGTGTACCTGCATTTCAGTGAGAACCGAGACAAAAAAAAAAGAGGGTCCAAAAAAAGAAGGCAACAAAAAAAAATCTTACTGCAGTTTTATCTTCTCTGCATTGAACCTCTTCCAACCATGCCGCATCCTGAACAGTTTTGTATCTTTCCCGGTGCTCCGTTGCGTTCTCACGCAGTTGATAACATGCAGTCTTGCACCACCGAATCCAGTGTACTGGGATTGACTTGTCACACGGACAGCAGGTCGGTAGCACCAAGCATGTCACTGTAGACTGCTGGCCGTTAAACAACGACTTGCACAACAGTTCAAATATAGCATATGCACAAGATTGTTCAGACTGCTATCCGACAAGTGAACAAGGTGCCCAATTGAACTGAATGTACCTGTGATTTCCAGCACTATCTTACAGCAGCGTTGTGAATCAAACAACAAATGGGGGGAAACAGATGTGTATTATTCTACAGTTACAGCAAAGAGTTTGTTCTTTCAGCATCAACAAGAATCATATGCATATCTAGAGACAAAATTCCTCTAATTTACCCTACTTGGTAACAGTTCTCTTCAACACATATATTTCACGTGCTTGCGTCAAGTTCCTTGGGCCACCACATCGACTTCTCGACGCAGAGCAAGCCCTCGTTGCCCTTGGTGTAGGTCATTCGCACCTCCCACTGCAGGGACTTGGCCATGCTTTCCAGTTCATTAATTGTGTCTGCAGTGTCCCTCACAATCAGTTTGCCTTGTGGCCTCAAGACACGATCAACCTCGGCAAAAACTGCCGTCAATTTGCATCTGTAAACAAGCAACACAGATTTAGTATCTGAAACACTGCAGGTAAACAACACAGGTTTAGTTGCAAGAAGCATAAAGCAAGCAAAAATGCTACTTGTACATATCAAAGAAACATGTCAAACTCAACGCATGAAAATCATTATTATTGTTTTCTTGCTGAACTAATCACATTAGTTGGTTTCAATTTCTGAGTTTCACTAGTATTATATACCAGAAGGATAGAATAATGTCAAGAACAAGAGATACAAACCTCTTTGTGAGCTTTGAGAATAGATGGTCCGCGTGCAGAAGGTCATAAGTTCTTGGGTAAGTGCTGAAAGACTCGCACCAGTCATGGTACATACCAAACAAACCACGCTCGTAAATGATGGGCAGTGTGTCTGGTGAATCAATCGGCACAATATTCATGACCCAGACCTTTTGGTCCCTCAGAGCTGCAGCAAAACTGCCATGCACCGATGTAAAGCATTAGTCAAGAAGAATGTAGCAACATGCATTTCTCGTTGTCAACAGTCTTCAGTAAAAAAAAAGGTGGGTTTTTTAAACCAAAACCAAGAAACATAATTTCTCCAGCTTAACTGAACGAAAGAAAAATGCTTAATGACTATGGTGGACAAGTTGCCCGCTATGTTTTGTGCTAGCTATGTGCCAGTTTGGGTAACTAGTAGTTATGTAGTGTGATCTGAATTACCAAAAAGAAAAGAGAAAAAAAAAACATGCCCAAGAAACTAAGACAACCATTTACTTACCCTCCTCCGAACACGGCTCTCATGTCCATGACATTTCTCACTTTGGACCAGTCAATTCCCATGCCATTCACATACGTTTTACTTACAACCCGTTTCCAGTGAGCATTATCTGCCTCAAAATCTTCATTTGCGGGCTTTCCATAGACACCAACCTTGGAACCATCAATTCAAAAAGGGGTCTTCTCAAGCCTTTGCGGCCATAACTCTGGCCATTTTGATCCTCGAACTTTTGAGCCACCAGGCAGTTTGTGCATGCATGCTTGCAAAGGTACATTCCTGCAAATCAAAAGGTTGTGTAAGCAAAGCAGAGAAGCACTTTTCCACATTGAAAATATATTCTTCTCAAAGAACCGAAACCATACCAAGCAGCATCTGCATCATCAGATTCCTTGCACAATGGTGGGCTGTTTTCAGTTCTTTTCTCATAGCAAATGTTGTCCATTGGTTTCTGACCATACCAACTTGGTTTAACTTATCCTTAGTCTTGTTGACCATCTTCCAGTACATGGACTTTGTCAAAGTGGACATGGCTGAAAAGAGTAAGTGGTCACATGTTATGTTAGAAATAAAATTAAATTTTGCACAGTTGGCCCATAGCATGTATTTTGAACAAATGCAATCCTTCCCCATCCATGAAAGAAGTTGACCCCTCATACTTAGGATTATTCAGTACTTTTACTCATGTCTGCTGAATTTGTTCTGTCGATAGTTGCTATACAAGAAAGGGGGGAATAGAGTAGCTAAACTTACACAAGCAATAGTCTGATCTTCTATTTATGTGTCTCAGTGTACAAAACATAAATTTTGGTAGGGAGCCTTATTAAAGATGGGAGGCTGTATGGTATTTCGACATAACAAATCAAGTTACCAGCTATACCCTACTTATGGATATACACTTCTCGCAAAATGATGGTACGCAGTTTTGATACGTGACATTAACATAAGAACTTCATTCAGTTAGGATGAAACTAAACTAAGCAGTTACGGACATACCATTCCAAATCTCAACATCCTCTGGGAGCTTTTGGTAAACAGGAGTGGCAGACCATACAAAGTAACCACCAGGGCGTAACAAGCGGTTCAATTCCAGCAAAAGCATGCCACCTAAAAGTAGCAGGAGTCAGCAATAAGATTCACTTCTATAGCAAATCAATAAAAGAAAGGAAGACATGTCAGCAATAAGACAAACCTTCAATGTGCCAAGGGACCCTGCAACGAGCGCAATGAATGACATCAAAGACTCTGCTGGGGTATGGAAGTCTCTTGGTGCCCATCACAGCTGAAATTGCTGGAATTCCCCTTTCTAATGCAAACTGTACTTGAGCTTCATGCTCATCTTTCGGAGCAAAAGACATGGTAAGCACATCTCTATCAAACATGTAGCCTCCAAAGCTGGCAACTCCACAACCGACATCTAAAATGACGCGGCTTCGTTTGCCCCATGCAATATCAGGCAATGCCTGTGAACGGCAGTTTAATCAGCATGGGATGAAAGCAAGTGTGATGTGTGATAACATCAAGTTCAAAGACGCAACATGAAACTTTCATTATCATGGTACAGTACTCAGCTATTTGCTAGATCAATGTAGGGATGACTAAAAAAATGAAAGCTTTATCCGCCAGAATGAGAGGCTGAAAACACAGGAATGACTGTGAAAGCCTGATGTCGTTTAGCCTAGCACATACAAAGTTACAAACTGTCCTCAACACATGCAGATTTCTATATGGTGGCATTTGACAAATTATGTTTGTGGAATAGTAAAACAATGAATCAATCACTGATGCTCAAAAAGTGTGAGGCAGATAAGTACAAGTCTAAGGAGTGACTAATATGGGATGCTGGGATGATGATAATATACCTGCTGAATAGTATCAATATAGTGGAGGGCACCATTCTTGAACTGAGTCCCACCCCCAGGGAACAGGAGATAGTCACCTGAGACCTTAACCCAATTTTGATGCCACTTGTACTCTGTGAGCTTAGTGTGAGGAACATTGCTGTACCATACCTGAAAAAAGCAGAACAACTTGGTAATAAGCAAGCATACATCTTGGTCAGCTAAAGATGATTCGGTGTTGTACAATTTAGAATAGACAGAATCACCTTGTCCCTGCTCTTTGGCCATTCAATAGAGCGTTTGTATCCTTCTGGGAGTGGAACAAGGCAGGTAGGAGGCTCCTCAGGGCAATGCCTCTCACGATGTTCATAATGTTTGGTAGTTCGAAGCTTCTTGATAGCCTTCTAGTTGTCAAGGCAAGGTATGTAATCTGTCGAGGCACTGCTATTACATAATTTCCAGGTATAGCTGGTTGCATCACCTGAAGACTTCGATGACGCTTGGACTTCCTTTTCAGTCTTGGACTCCGCAGCCTATGTGGGGAATGAACCATTCTGGGTATTTGATTCCTTCAGAAGCTCTGATTGGGCCCCATCAGGAAATACCTCGTTGGAGTTTGAGCTCTGATCCTTCTCTCCATTTTCTTCCACCTTCTCTTCTATTTGAGGTTGCTCCTCCTGAGTGGAATCACCTTCAGACTTCTCTTCTTGATCGTCCTTACTCTCACCATCAGGTTTTTCATCACCACTCTCATTTGTGATTTCATCATCTTTCTTCTCCCTATCACCATCATTCTTCGTGTCATCTGACCGCCCTTCTGATTTTCCATTTGCATCATCAAACATATCCTTGGTCTCCGCTTTCTCTGTCGGCACTTCCGGCTCCTTCTCTTCAGGCTTCTCAGTGAACTTCTCTTCCTCAGGGGCATCCTTGTTATTCGGCTCCTCCGGGACCATGGCATTGTTGTTGTCGGTGTCCTCAAATTTCTCAGAACCTTCACCGGCATTGCCAGATGGTGTCTCCTGTGACGCCCCGAAATTGCCAGGCGCAGGCTGCTGCTTCACCACCGGCTTCTTATTCGACGAGATCTCCAGCGGGAAGACAGTGGACGAGGTCATCATCCACGCGCCGACCAGGCAGAGCGCCACAAAGACGACGACCGTGGTGGTCGTGCAGAACGACGACGACGACGAGGACGGCCGGCGGCCGTCCATCTTCCCACCTCGGCCAAATGCCATCAGTGCCTGGCGAACATGTACCGGAGCACCGACCTTCACGCGGTTTATCTCCACCAACTACTGCTGGACCAAGAACCCCAAAAATCGCAGCTTTGTCTGCTCTCTATGCTGCTACAGCCGCGCGGCACCTGAAGCAGCAAACCACAAAACGAACTTAGAATCGCTGCGGGTTTTTAAATCAAGCTGCTGGATCTAAAGAAGGAAACGCTGGATCTACTGAAGCAACACCGAAAAGAAGATCCGCTATTGGTGCTATTAGCTTCTTGTTTGCTAGTACTACAGCGGCTCTTTCCCGGTATAAGAACACGGGAAAACGCGAAGAAATCCCCCCGTGTGGCCAAACATGGAAAGAAATTTAGTAAAGCGTTCCTTCCGCGGAGAGCTACCGCATCTTCCAATTGAGCTGGTTCTCAGCTGGGCGCAAAACGCGCACTAATCAATGTCCGATTCCAGAAAATGAAGAAGAGTAAAAGAATAGCTAATCCGGCAGCTCGCTCGCTGGCTAGCTAGCTCATCGGCGGAAGGGCGGAACCAGCTTTGCTGGATCCAGGGCGGCAAGCGGGTGCAGGGAGAGAGAACGGAGCAGCAATGCGGAGGCGGTGGGGTTGGTACCTCGCCGGAACCGGCCGCCGGAGCGGTCGCGGTGGCCCTCCGCTCGGATCTCGAAGAGTGGTGAGGGGACGGAGGAGTGAGAGGACGGGAGGCGAAGCGTTACAATTGTCTTGTACTGTTAAAATTTACCTCTGGAAATTATCGTTACAATTCTTTTTCTACCTGATACTTGGGTGTCTGGGTCCACTGTCAGCCTGTATATGTGTACACATCTTCCGTGTGTATCTCACGTGTGGGGCCCACACGTCAGTGAGTGAAGGGAGAGAAGCAGCCGGGGGTGTTTTGGTCCATACGGAAGATGTATACACGTATACGGCCTGACAGTGGGCCCAGACACCAGGAAGACATAGAAAATAGCAAGTATCAGGTAGAAGAAGAATTGTAATGGCAAGTTTCAGAATAGGTGAATTTTAATGGTAGATCTCAAAGTTCTGAGAATTGGAATGGTACCAATCCAAATAACCCTTATAAAAGTGGGTGGGCAGCGTAGTGTGAGTGGAGTGCAACATGTTGTGTAGTGTGTCCACAGCAGGAGCGGAAGCGGAGGAGATGGGTTCGCATTAGACGACCGTACGTAATTATAATACGCTATATGTGGTACGGGTTAGATTACTCGGGAGATCTTGACCAAAATGTCTGCTCTGAGTGTTTGGTAGTTTGCGGATTTGCCCTTTTAGGATGTTGCTATTTCTCCCGAGGCTCAGAAAGAAGAAATGGCGATGCTTTAATTGGGGCAACAAGAGTTATCCGTAGGAGGAAGTTGGCCGAGAGTAAAGATGGCAACGGGCAGGAAAAACCCGTGTGCCCGAGGGCACCGGACCCGATGGGCGTGGTTACGAGCATGAACCTATGCCCGCGGGCGCGGACACGGGTATAGAATTGGATCCAACGGGCAAAGCTCTACAGGTAAGAAAATAGCATGCCCGCTACCGCAAACCCGCCAAACCCGCGCTGACATGTGGGGCCATTGCAGAAGAGGTATATATTCTTCATCCTAGTGTTTCATTGATCCCAAATTCACAGTCGCATTCCCACCAGCGGCCACCACCAGCCCGTCACCCGTGACCCCGCCTCCCCATTCCCTCACTCGCGGTCGCGCGCGGCTCCTCCACTCGCGGCGTCGGCGTGGCTCCTCCACACGGGGCGTCGTGCCTCCCCCACTCGCGCCACCCCGATGCCGGCCTCCGACCTCCCTACTCCAACAGCTAGCGGACGCCGGCCTTCCCGCTCCGAGGCTCCCACTCGCGGTCGCGGTGCCTCCCCTCACTAGCGTGAATCCTCTGAGATCCAGCGCACTTCGACGGCCTCGCACGCCTCCTCTCTAGTCTGAAAGGTCCTTGTTTGGTTTTGGTAATTGAGTGACAACCTAGGTGGACTAATTGTGTTTATATGAGATACACAGGTAATTAGTCCACAGGTACATGTGTGTGAGCAACATATGCCATGAAGGTGAAAATGGCTTGGAGATGTTGCAAAGCTCACACATATGATGATGAAGGAGCTTATTGCACGTGAGACATGACATTGAGTCATGTGATCAAGGTGGAGAAGATCAAGACAAGACTTGGCTTGATGGACCGGTTGCAAGCGTGAAGGGCAAGTCGAAGGCTTTGGAGTGATGGACCGCGTGACGGTGAAGCTTAAGCAAGACTTGGCGCCGATGGACGATGGCAACGGTGAAGAGCAAGTGAAGTCAAGATCGATGAACCAATATGATTACGTGATGATATGAAGTGGATCATATCATTGTTGATCGTGTTGGTGCATGTGTTGCATCGACATTGGAGGAGATGGAATGGAATGCGCAAGGCAAAGGTATAACCTAGGGCATTTCATTTCACCGGTCATAGGTGTGTAGAGAAGTTTATGACCGGGTTTAGGATAGATGGCCGTACTATCAAGAGAAGCAAACTTGTTTGCATATCGGTCATCTAGTGCCACTCGAGTGATCTAACTTTGCATCATCGCCAGGATCGAGTGGCGTGGCAAGTTGAGTGGCTAACATCCTTTGGGAAATGATTGTGAAAATGATAACACACATATACATGATGGTGTACACTTGGTGGTGTTGGCACATTTACAAAGGAGGTGGTGTTTGCAGGGTTAAGATGGGAGCTTGCAAAGCGGGATTCGGCGCTTTTGGGAAAATGGAATGCCTATTTTTTATTGCGCCGGATGCAAATTCTTGTGGTTGGCACGTTGGAGCAAGGGTGAAGAAATTAGAAGTGAAAACGAGTTGATCGCGAAGACGCTGGTGTCGGTCAACTGACCGGACGCTGGGTCTGAAAGCACCGGACCCTGGCAGCGTGCGTCCGGTCAAACTGACAGGTCCGCACAGTATCGAGGGTATTGCACCGGACGCTGGTCTGCGTCCGGTCAAGGTGGACCGGACGTGTCCGGTCGAAGAAATACGCCTCGGGCAGCTTACTGGAAATGACCGGACGCTGGGGCTTCAGCGTCCGGTCAGTTTTACCGGAGCGTCCGGTCAAGGCAAATGACCGTTGGAATCGGGACACGTGGCCGTCTGCGGACGACCGGACGTTGAGGTCCAGCGTCCGGTCAACATGACCGGAGCGTCCGGTCGGCTCGACTTTTGCCCAGTAAAGGGGTAACGGCTAGTTTAGCCCATGGGGCTATAAATAGAAGTGTGCCTCGGCCATGGCTAGAGCTGAGCACCTGAGGGGACTTAGTGTCCATGCTTATGAGTGTTTGGGAGCCCTCCATCACACATATACTTGATAGTGATCATTCGATTGTGTGAGTGAGCGATTCTAGTGCGATTGCATCGTGAGGTTGCATCGAGTGGCACTAGGTGATCGAGTTGCAAGCCGATGGTGCTTGTTACTCTTAGAGGTTGCCACCTCCTAGACGGCTTGGTGGTGGTCTCCGTCGAAGCCCGTAAGAAGCTTGTGCGGGGCTCCGGAGAAGAGCTCTGTGAGGGGCATTGTGCTCGCCCCACGGGAGCCGCGAAGAGCAACTTTAGTAAAGCGTGTCATTGAGCTACCCTCACTCAAGGGGTTGGTTCTTGCGGCGCCCGACGTGCGGGCTTAGCGGGTGATGCTAATTAGCCGCCGAACCACCAAGTGAGCGGTCGACACAACGGGGACTAGCGTGTTGGCAAACACGTGAACCTCGGGAGAAAAATCATCGTGTCAACCTTGTTCTTCCCGTTGGTTTGCATCCCCATTACACAAGCTTGCTATTACCTTCTTGCTTGTGTAGCATAGAAGTAGCTCCCGTGCGTGGTTAATTTGGTTTTAGTAACCTTGTTAGTCACATTGCTTAGTTTGTGTAGCTAAGTATTTACGCTCTCTAATTAGGCATTGGTTGCCTTGTTATTGAGCATTGCTAATGAGCTTATTTAGCTTTGTGCTTTTGCTTACTAGCATGTGTAGGAGCTCCCCCATTGCTTAAAGTACTAGTGGCATAGGTTTATGTGACCTTGATCCTAGAATTGATTAAGAGAGCTCTAGCTAGCCCGGCACCTTTGTTGCATAATTGTTATCTTTGTAAGGTGCTAGTGAACATATATAGTGGGGTATAGTCTTGGCTAGACCGATAGTTTTAATTCCGCAGTTGTATCGGTTAGCCGGCGCGATTAAGTTTTAGAAAAGACTATTCACCCCCCTCTAGTCGCCATCTCGACCCTTCATAGTCTCCACGCGTGACTCCTCTCCAGATCCAGCGCACTCCGATGCCGGTCGCCATCTGAAAGGTCCTAATATGGCTAGAGGGGGGGTGAATAGCCTATTTAAAAACTACAAATCAACTAGAGCAATTTGATTAGTAAGACAAATAGCGAAATGCAAACTTGCTCTAGCTCTACAAGGGTTGCAAGCCACCTATCCAACAATTCTAGTTGCAATGATCTATTTGCACACAATCTACTTGACCACTACTCACTAAGAGCTCTCACAAAAGCTACACTAAAGAGCTCCACTAGATATGTTTAAAGCACAAGGCAAGCTCTCAATTCTAATTACACTAAAGAGCTTGCTATATCTAGTTTATGAAATGTAAATGAGTAAGTGAGGCGATTATACCCGGGTCGTGGAGTGAACCAATTACACGATGAATATATAGCCAATCACCGGGAGAATGCAAATGACAAGAGACAACCAATTTTTCTCCCGAGGTTCACGTGCTTGCCAACACGCTAGTCCCCGTTGTGTCGACCAACATTTGGTGGTTGGTGGCTAAGAGGTGTTTCACAAACCTCGTCCACACGATAGGACACCGCAAGAACCGACCCACAAGTGAGGTAACTCAATGACACGAGCAATTTACTAGAGTTACCTTTCGGCACTCACGGGAGGGTACAACTCCCCTCACAATCACCCGAAGGCGGCCACGAACAATCACCAACTCGTGCCGATCCTTCACCGCTGCTCCAACCGTCTAGGTGGTGGCAACCACCAAGAGAAACAAGCGAAATCAGCGGAAATAAAACACGAATACCAAGTGCCACTAGATGCAATCACTCAAGCAATGCACTTGGATTCTCTCCCAATCTCACAATGATGATGGATCAATGATGGAGATGAGTGGGAGGGCTTTGGCTAAGCTCACAAGGTTGCTATGTCAATGAAAAATGTGCAAGAGAGCTCCCTTGAGCGGCCATGGGGCTATAAATAGAGCCCCCATCAAATAGAGCCGTTATACCTCTTTCTTTGGGCAAAACGCGCGTTCGACCGGACGCCTTTCGGTCGACCGACCGACGACGGCTCTCGGCGTCCGTCGGTCGCTCGATGTCACCACGTGTCCAGACTCAACGGTCATCGGCCTCGACCAGAGACGCCGCTCCTTGAATCGACCGGACACCGGCTTTGAAGCCCGCGTCGGTCGTTTCAACTCCCGAGGCATGATTTTTCGACCAACGCAGCGTCCGGTCCACCTTGATCGGACGCAGAGACGGCGTCCGGTGCTCAACCCCTAGCCATTTGTACCACTCGAAGTCAGCCTTGACCGGACGCAGAGCGATCGGCGTCCGGCTTACGGTTTCGGCGTCCGGTCCACACAGACCGACGCTTGACATCATTTCGATCAACTCCATTTCAACTCTTACTTCTTCACCCTTGCTCAAGTGTGCCAACCACCAAGAATTTTGCATCCGGCGTAATAGAAAATGGACATTTCATTTTTCCAAAAGCGCCGAATCCCGCCTCGCAAGCTCGGCGGGAGGGAGAGAGGGACCCAAACCCATCTCAACCCTGCAAACACCTTGTGCACATGTGTTAGCATATTTTCACAAATATTTTCAAGGGTGTTAGCACTCCACTAGATCCTAAATGCATATGCAATGAGTTAGAGCATCTAGTGGCACTTTGATAACCGCATTTCGATACGAGTTACACTCCTCTTAATAGTACGGCTATCTATCCTAAATGTGATTACACTCACTAAGTGTCTTGATCACTAAAACAAAATGGCTCCTATATTTTATACCTTTGCCTTGAGCCTTTTGTTTTTCTCTTTCTTCTTTTCCAAGTTCAAGCATTTGATCATCACCATGCTATCACCATTGTCATGATCTTCGTCATTGCTTCATCACTTGGAGTAGTGCTACCTATCTCATAAACATCTTGATAAACTAGGTTAGCACTTAGGGTTTCATCAATTAACTAAAACCAAACTAGAGCTTTCACCATCCTCCGAGCCTTCGACGCTGGCCAGTGAGGCTCGTATCCGCGGATAACATACCCGTTGCCATCTTTAGCCGAAAGCCCGAGACCATGATCAAAGGACATGGAAACTAATTTTTTGTTCTAACAAAGGAGTGGACTGCAAATGCAAATACTGTAGGAGTAGGATTAGGCCAAGGGCACACACGGTGTGAGTGCGACGGTGCGAGTGGGCACACGGCGGTAGTAAGTGCGTGCGTGCCTGGCGCCGGTGCCCCCCTCTGCGACGACGTAGCGCGTCGTCCAGTGCACCGTCCGCTGTTCAGCGCTGCGGGTCCTCCGCGCACACAGCGCGGTGAACCCAAATTTTTTATTTTTTGGTCCTTTTTTTAAAAGTTTTTCACAAATATGTCCCTGAAGGTATGTTTTCAAAATCTTGACCCTAAACTCGGCGTCATCGTTAATGGTGCCGAGATTATACGTCTCGGCGCCAAAGTGTTTGGCGCCTAGGTCGAGGGCCACGTCGGCATCAAAGTAGAGCCGGGGAGTGACATGGCAGCCAGCTCGGCGCTGTGGATCTTGACGCCAACACCGTAGATTTTTGTGCCGAGCTTAAGTTTGACGCTGTAGATTTTGGTGCCGAGCTTGGCGCCAAAGATCCTGGCGCCGAGCCGGCCTTACAAGTGCTGGTCGTTGCTGTGGGATCGGCGGTGGCGCAAGTCCAGCCGGCGGGACCCGGGCGCGCCGCCCAGCGAGAGCGATTCCGCCATCCGCACCGCGTCGGCCGCCATCCTCAAAGCGGCCAAGCTCTCCGCTCCGCCGTCCAAAATCTGAGCCGTTCCTTTTCGTCTGCTGCCGGATGCGTTGCTGGCTTCCAGTTGCAGCTCTGTGCTGTACGACTGTCTTTACATATATGCTCTGCGTGTGATGTGATATACTGAATTTACTGATGAGTTTTGTTTAGCTTACTCACTCTAGTGTTTCTAGTATACTAGTAATATTCTCACTTGGATTGGACTGTTATGTACAACAGAGGCTTGGCCTTCCCGGGGCTGGCTCCATTGAAAAGAAATGGAAAATACAGCTGGTCAGACAAAAGCAGTGTGGTTGATATAATCAATGGGGATAGGAACTTTCAGTTGCAAAATTTGAACTGACTGCAGAGCTTTCTTCTAATTTTAGGACATGCGTTACCAATGGGGATAACTCTTCCCATGCCATTGCAAAAATATTTAAGTCCTTATTCTCTCCGTTACAAATGGGTATTTCTTCCCATGCCATTGCAGAATGTACGATCCATTGCAAACGTAATGCAGCACCACAAGCTCACAACATCTAACCTATGTTCATCTACCGCGTCAAGCAGAATGAAGCACGCACCGTGCCTTTCTATCCAAAAAGCTTAGAATCTCTTCTTGACAGATTTTTCTACACAACAGCACCGCTAATACATAAAGCAGACTTGAAGTTCACAACAAAACGCGAGAAGAAAAACCCAATCATCGACAGATTACAGATGGACTTAGCAGAGCCCTTATTTGCCACCATTCCTCATGTCTTATTGCAGAAATCCATCTATTGCTACTCAACGTCACTCAGTCTCTGGAACTCTGTAACAAGGTATGGGAAAGGTGTCATGTTCAACGTTTAGCTAATGAAGAAGACCCATTAGAAGCTATATTCTTCACTTTACCACTGACAAGTAGGGATGCAGCGGCATTTAGAACCTGTGTAGCAAGATAGGAATTAGTCTAAGCTTATAGACACCAATTGATCATTACAAGTGCAGTCCAACAATTTTTAATCATTTTATTTTAAGCAGGTACTACATGAAAACGGATTTGTACAAAAAAAGTGGTAATCAAGACACCAAATTTTAGTCAGCCAGCTGCTTAAAAAGATCTTGGGTATAAAACATTGTGAATCCATTAAGATATATGCAGCCATTTCTTCAGTAAGTATAAAATGCACAAAACTGAAGAGAGGTAGCTAGGGCTAACTTACAAGGGCATCTGCAATGGACCCCCTTTAACCAGCAAGAACATCCTGGAGAACTTTTGCATTAAATGCTGGATCACCTCCTTTCAGATCTTCCAATGTGCAACGAGGAATGCCAAAATCCACTAGATTGCAATACATACAGAAGATGTTAGATCAAAGAATTATATTGTTTCCGTTCATCCACTAGTTCATTGATTTGGTTATCATATACTCCTACTTCAGCAGTAACCAAACATATATAACATAGAAAAGAAAGCAGACAATATGAGTTGGAAGTGCAAATTGATGCGACCAAAATAAAATGATATCGCATAAAAGGATGCCCATTGCAGTCTACTTTTGCAGATTAAGAAATATGGGTCGGTACATCAGGTCCAAGCTCGATGTTGACCCCAAGCGCCTCCAGCACATCGGCGCTGCCGCACGCCGACGAGCTGGCCCTGCTTCCTTGCTGCTCAACGCAATCAACGCATCAGCAGGACCGCCAGCGTCCAAACCCAAGGTCGATAATCCCAAAAGCGCAAAAACACGATACCTTAGCGACCTTGGCGCCGGCCGCGGCGGCGAGGATGGTGGACCCGGTGGGAGATGTTGGAGATCTCGAGATGTTGACGGTGTCTGCGCCGTCGCCGCCGGTCCCGACAATGTCAACGGCGTTGTCCAGCCCGTCGACCCGGACACAGCAGCTCAGCATCGCCTTCGCTAGCCCCACGATCTGAAACAAAGTCGGCGACAAAAACCCAATCAGGGATCCGCAGAAATAATCCAAGCCGTCCCGGACTGCCGGTAACGAAATCAGCCGCGTCCTCCCGAACACAAACCACACCTCTTCGTAGGTCTCGCCCTTGGCCCTGAGGAGGACGAGGAAGGCGGAGATGCGCGCCTCGTCCTTCTCGTCCAGCAGCAGCCGCCGCGTCGTCTCCGCGTCCTCCTCCGAGAAGTCGGTCCCGCCGATCAGCGCCTCCAGCACCTGGCGCCACCACCACGACAGCAACAAACGAAATGAAGCGATCACCACCACAACACCCAAGGCGACAGAAGTGTTAATCCCAAACTGGACCCAACAGTTCAGCTGGGTCTCTGATCCGCGTTCTGATCGGGGGCGTCCAGTCCACTATGGCTAGAGGACCCCTATCATACTGTGCAATAAATAGAGGTGGGGCCGATGGCTATGAGTACGAGGTTCGTCTGAGCTACAGTTCTCCATCGAAATCCCTAATCCGATCCAGAAGGGCGCAGCCAGTGACGGGAAGCCACCAGCCTCATCGCCACCGCCTCTGCATCTACACCGAGGGGCTGCTACGTCGTCGGGCTGCCCTGCAACCGCTACAGCACCGCCGCCCTTCAACTCGACACCGCCACTGGGTTATCGCCAAGCACTGCAATGGCGAGCCCATCTTCATCCAAGGCGGCCGAAGGTTTGCACCCTTCACCCCTCTCTTTCTCTCGTTCTATCTACTGCTACTGCACTAGTAGATGTTCTAGGACTCATGACTTCATTCAATAGCAAATAGATATGCTAGTTCTATGCCTATAGATCCTGCTCAAGGTCTAACAATGGTATCAGAGCCTAACTAGATGTAGATCTAGCCTATCGGAATCCTCTGTCTAGATGTAGATCTGTCAGGGGTAAGAAACAGAGTAGATCCGTTCGGATCTGAGAAAAGAAGAGGGTCACTGAACCCTAATCCTAATCGGGTGAAGAACAGATAAAAGAAAGGGTCTCGGATCTCAAAGCCGAAACCTAACCCACGAATCAGTCACGGGGGAAAACAACGTTGAACAAAACCCTAACGCTAACCAAACCCTAATCCTCAAATCGAACAAATCCGAGAAGAGAAGAAAAGAAAATCAAAGACATGAGAAGGAAAGGGAAAGAGGGTAAGGGGCTTATCTCACACATCTCGAATCAAAAACGAAAGAAAAGAAACCCTAACCTTAGAAAGAGAAAGGGGACGATAGAGAAGGGGCTTCCTACCTGGGGCCCGGCTGTCCCGTCTTCGCTGTCAGCCATCTCCATGGCCGACGCGCGGGATGAACCAGAGGCGCCGACCGGGCAAGTCACGCCACCGCGTGGCTCCGCCTCGGGCTCGGGTGTCAAGGGCACCGCAGCGCAGCCCTTCGATGGCGGTGCGCTCAGCCTCGGGTGGACGCACGCACCGGCGAAGGGGTGCGCGGCGGCGCCGCCACTTCCTCCGGCCGCCATGGCTGCTGCGCTGCTCCTTCTCTCTGCGGCGCTGAGGAGGAAAGAGAAATGAAACGAAGAAAATGAGATAGGGTTTCGGGGAGGCTGCTGCGCCGGGGTTTCGTTCGACCGATGCACACGCTCGGCCGTCGGATGAAAGCGGACGCCTTAGATTGCTTGGGCCGAAGGCCGGCCCAGGCGGGCGCGCGTGACCGCGCGGCTTTGCCGGCCCAGGCCCAGGTTGCGGCCTGGGTGCGGGCAGCGCGCGCGCAAGCAGAGTGGACCGGGCCGTTTTGCCGGCTGGGCTGAAGAACAGTGTTCATTTTGAATCAATTTTTTTTATTTTCCTTTTTCCAGTGAATATTTATTTCCTAGAAAATGGATAAATGGCTTAAAGTAAATAGAAAAGAGAATTTTCCTGTGGGTAAAATTTATTAAATTGAATTATTTTTTCCGCTGCAATATTTAAGTTAATGATCTTCTAATTAAATTCGAACTAACAGGAGAATTTAATTTGAAGAGTAGTTAATTTTAATCAGTAAATTATAATATTGTTATTTTTCTTACCAACGTTGATAATAGCAATATTATAATGTTTCATACATTAATTCTATTTTTGCCCAACGGTGATGTAGAATTAGTGTATAAAAACAGTTGTATATTTTTATTTTGAGCAACATTAGAACTAAGGCATGCAATTGTTGTTATTATTTATGTTCTCACTCTATAAGAATTGTGTTTTTAGGCGGATACAACTTGATGGGTTGTATCAAAGAGATCCCCACTCTCAAAGGTGACAACTACACGGAGTGGAAGAAAAAGATTGACCTGGCCTTCATCTTGGCTAAGGTGGATTGGGTAGTGAAAGGACCTAGGATGCCGCCTAGGGGGGGGGTGAATAGGCGTTTCTGAAAAATCAACACCTTTAAAAACGGAAACGATTAGTAATAGGAGTTTCCAAAATGGAAACTCTAAATCAGAGTAATACCACCCCTCACAAGTTAGCCACAAAGTATATAAAAGATACTAGATAAACCTAGGGAGCCAAACAGTTGCAACCAAAGAGTTGAATCAAAATGCACTAGTCAGTTAATGTCGGAAGTCCCGACGTTTGGGTCAGAACTTCCGACGTGTCAGAAGTCCCGACGTTTGGGTCAGAACTTCTGACGTGTCAGAAGTCCCGACATTTAGGTCAGAACTTCCGACGCAAACGAGAAATGAACTACAAGTGCTAAAATAAACTTTGTGATGCCGATAACTTACAAACCCACTTCCTAGTGGTAAGGTAAGGTGTTGGGTCACTCTCTTGACGTTGATAAGCCACCACTCCGTAGATCGAGTCCCAAACCCTAAGAAATAGCTAGAGAGAGGGAGACAACCAAATACAAGTGATTTCGAGCAAATCACAACAACAACAAGCACGCGGGAGACAAGAATTTATTAGAGGTTGGCAGCCCCCACAAAGGAGCTCCTACGTCCTCGTTGTTGAGGTGACCACTTTGGTCGGAGTCTCTTCCACCTCCTTGCCTCACTTAAGGATACCACAAAGGTCACTTGAGTTTCTTCACTAGAAAACAAGGGTAATACAAACTTCCCAAGGCTCTTCCACAAGATGGAAGCTCTTGGGCGACGCCTAGCCGGCTAGGGGAAAATCCCCAAGAGTAACAAATGCAAATCAAATCGGTTTGACGAAGAAATCAAGTGCTCAAGCTTGCTCAAAGTGTTTTTCTCACTCAATCCACTCTCCAATCACTCAAACCCTTTGGGAATCGAAGTTGGAAGCAAAGGAGTGAAGAGAGGGGAGTCTAGAATGCTTGGGGGATGTTTTGGCCAAGTGTTCGTCGCAATGAAATGAGTGGGCAACGGTTAGAAGGAAGGAGAGGGGTATATATACTCCAAGGCAAAATCTAACCGTTCAGATCTACGTCGGAAGTTCCGACGCAGATCTCGGGACTTCCGACGTATGAAGAAAACTCTGTTCACGCGAGGTCAAAGTCCACTCGAGACAGCTAACGTCGGAACTTCCGACGAACGTCGGGACTTCCGATGGTCGGAACTTCCGACGAACGTCGGGACTTCCGACGGGCACAGGCAGCAGGTCAGAAGAACCATCGATGCCGGGACTCCCGGCTTGGGTCGGGACTTCCGACAGTCGGGAGTTCTGACTCACGTCGGGACTTCCGACATCCACAGTCACCGCGCAGGCTGTGACCGGGAGTCAGCACTTCCGGCAAGAGTCATGACTTCTGACTGTCGGGAGTTCCGGCTTACGTCGGGACTTCCGGCACCGACAGTCAAAGAAAATTATTCTATGTGCTCATGAAGTGCTAGAGTGTCTCTCTTTTGATTTTATTTTTATGATTGAGCACTCTATCTTCCTCATAACACCTAACTTTGCATCTCTATTAATAGTACGGCATACCTATTAACTCAAGATCAAAAGAAAAACGAAATTAAACCTTTTGAGTTGATCTTCTTTAAATTTATGTTGTGTCTTTCAATCTTCATCAAGTGAGGGTGCCAACATGTCAATATTGATCTTTTCACTTGAGCATAGCCATCTTGAGCATGTGACTTGATTCCATTCATCAAATATGAACAGCTCCAAATGCATCAAGTCACTTTCATTAACTTGTCCAATATAGATTTGATCCTCCACATCAATATGACCATCATAGCTTGATTAGTACCTCAACTAAATGCAAGTACTTTCTTCTTCACCCTAGCTAGGTTCCTCGGCCATCAAGCCGTCGCTTGCCCTTCACCCTTGCTTAGTACCTCGAAGCCTTTTCTTGCTATCTTCACCATCTCAAGCCGTCAAGTCACATCTTGTATTAAATCAACCATTCATTTGTATTGTTGTCTTTTTCATTTTAATTTAGCAAGCTTCAAATATGAGACCATTCCATATGCAATCCCTCATGTCTCATTAATTAACTCTTATCGTGCTTGCTTTCACATAGATCATTGAAATCCCACAATAAATAAGCCTTTGCATGAATTCCATTTGCATTGTTGTCTTGTGCTTGAACTAGATTGTTTATACAACAATACATCATTTTGGCTTTATACAATTTCATCAAATATCTGTGAGATAATCAATTTCCTGTCTAACACTTAGCAAATATGTTAGTCCTTTAATCGTGTTGTCATTCAATCATCCAAAACTCACTAAAGGGCTAGATGCACTTTCAATCTCCCCCTTTTTGGTGATTGATGACAACCCGATTAAAGCTTACAAAAAGATATAAACAATTAGGCTTTTGGATTCAATGATTTATGAGAGGCTCCCCCTTAATGTGTGCAATATGAATTGAATTCATAAATGACCTCAAATGTCAATTTGCACATACTAAAACACATAGGAGACCCCCCTTAAATCATTGCATCCGTGGGGTGCAAGTGTGTGTCAAAATAAAAAATCGTGATGCATATGACATGATATATCACACAAGACTAAACAGAAAGCATCACACCATACAAAGTCACTCTAAAACATGCATGGTCCTTATGAAAGTAAATACATCACATATATCACACACATAACACTTATATCAAAGATTTCTCAAGTTTACAAAGTCACTCTAAAACATGCATGGTCCTTATGAAAGTAAATACATCATATATATCACACACATAGCCCTCATCACAAAGATTTCTCAAGTCATATCTCTCCCCTTGTCATAGCTACTCTCCCCCTTTCATAGCTAGACACAAGGTTGCACTCCTGAAGCTTTAAACATATCTCATATATATCACACACATAGCACTCATCACAAAGATTT